CTGAAAACTATGAGAAAGACTTAGTCCTAATCAAAGAATAGAGTTATTTAAAGATACTGGTTCATTACTATACAAATAATGCATCCATTATAAATCCTGAACAGGCTTAGATTCATTTTTAGAAATAATGTGAACAAAGTATTAGCTGAAAGGACACACACACAGCCCAGGACCTTTATACAAAGAGATGCACAATTAAAAAAACACACATAAAAATGAAGTTAAAAAGGAAATATAGTCAAAAGAAGACTAGCTGATATGCAAAATACTGTATTAATAAAATTCTTTATAAGCACACTGACTTCGAAGAGGATGAAAATAAATATTTCATCTAGGGTCAAAGGCTAAAGATTGGTTTCTAATGTTTTTTAGAAACCCTAATTCTTTCTGTCTCACCAAAATGAAAAAACAAACAAAAAGCTAAATAAGGACACATATGTAATAGGTTAATCCATAAAGAAAAAAAAAATAATGTCAAATATCCACTATACTATGTTAAAAAAAAAAGCTAGAGTTTCAAAGCCTGAAAGGCTTTTGGTTATTTTAAAAAATCTCCTGTAGACTTGTTTAGTATTGGATTACAAAACTGGCAATAAGTCTGAATGGCTTATTTCAAAATGCAAATAAATGCAAATGGGGATTTCAATTGTAATTTAGCTATCATTAATTCCCCAAATCCTTACTTCTGTAAAGGATTAGGTAAAAGCGATGCAATAACCACAATGGAATATATAATCAGAAGAACTCAAGTTAAGATCTGTTCAAAAGAACTGTCTGTGATGCTAGTAATACTCTATCTGTGCTGTTTAATACAGTAGCCACCAGCCACGTGTGGCTATTGAGTGTCTGAAATGTGGTTAGTACAACTGATAAATGATTTAAAATTCTAATTTTAACTAATTTAAATTTAGCCACATGTAGCTAGTGACTAACAATTGGATAAAGTAGGTTTAGAAAGAAAGGTCCAATCTTCTAAAACAATTTTAAAATGCTCATTTATAAAAAACTGCTTATTTTCTTTAATCTGACATTAATTTTGACATAAGTATTGCCAGTTGTTTATAATTAAAACTTACCGTCATTTTTTTTAATGTTATAGTTAGGACATTTAATATAGATTTTTGGAAGGTATCCATATAGTTAGACCATATTATTTATGAATTAACTTCTGGATAGTAAAAGGGATATTACAAAATATTCATTATAAAAAGGGGGTCCTGCACCTGATGGAGTAAAGGACTGGGCTACAGGTAAGAACAAGAACTAGGACTTCTGAGTTCTAGTCTGCTGTTTTCCCCATTTTACTCTTCCACTTTGTTATGTTATTCTGGAGCAGATAAACTCCACAGTCAAAATTAAAGAAACGAGAAATAAGGGTCAGGTATATGAAATTTCTTTTGTAGCAATTTCATCATTTTTCAGTAGATGGATTGTGTTATTTTGTCTAATTTTGGGGTTTTGGGAACTAGTGTCTATTTTTGTATCAGTCTTATGTATATTCTTCCTCAATAAACTAAGCATTTAAAGTATCAAACACTGTACTAGGTGGGCACTGTTAATACTCAGCCAGGTTTTATAATTATATTTAAGCCAGGAAAACACAAGATAATTTCAGAAAAGTGCAATGAAGCTAAATTACAAAACACAGGTCAGAATATAACATTTGTAAGAACAATTAATTAAAGATCCTAACCATATGAATGACCTAAAATTTTCTCTATTGACAGTTTTTAGAGCTACTGTAATTCCACACTGTTTATGTGAGCTTTAACTAACTTCTGATTATAACACACAAGTCAGGTTTTTAATTTAAACCTTTTTCTCATGATACCTACTTCACCTCACCAAAAAAGCTGACAGAGAGAGCCACTGGCTAAACTATAAGGAAGGAAAGGCAGCAAAAATATTCAAACAAACAAACATTCCAAGGAGCTGCTAAAAACAGGAGGTACGAAGTTTGACTGTGTTCATTAGTGGATGGGACATGGGAGAGAGAATAATGCAATGGTTAGCTATTTGAACTCACCACTCAAGATCTGCTGCACTGCTTCGTTTCCCATCTGCGCTGCAGTAAAGCCTTGTAAGGAGATGATGGAGGGGTCAGAGCCATAACTCAGCAGGAGGCGGCAGGTCTGCAGGTGACCTGCGAGGGCAGCTCTATGCAAAGCAGTCTGACCAAGAGTGTCCAGCGCATTCATCTGAAAAATCATTGGTGGGCACATGAAATCGAACATCTAATTTTGTTCCCTTTTATACTCAAGCAAATAATTTCAAATGAGAAAATGCAATTGACATAGCTTTTGAAAAATGCCAAAGATAATTCATTATTAACTTTGCTCATTGGTTCTGTAGAAATATCATCTTCTTAAGTTAGCTTTCTCTGATCACCTTACTGAAAATCATGACAAACCTATTCTTTCCC